CCATAGAAGGATGGTTCACAGCCTGGTGTTCTACATGTAGCTTATACATATATATACTCCTGCACAGGCTTCTCAGACCCTGGTATGTCCTCTGAGGTTTCACCTTCTTTTCTCAATGTCAGGCCCTGTTTCACCTCATCTCCTTACAGCACTAAGAAGCTGCCCTCCTACGGTTCTGAGTAAAATCGTGTCTGCCTCAAATATATGTGCAGTATGTGGATTTCCACTGTTTTTACAAAATTCCGATAATAACAGCAAACTATTTGTTTGTGTGCCGAACTTTTCACAGTGTGCTGGAAGCTAACCTTCGAATGCATAAATAATCAGAGGCCAGTTGGTCAGTTAGGGTTATTATCGTCTCCCAAAGAATCCTATCATATCGGGTCAGGAAGCTGCTGCATCAGTAAGCAGAGAATAGTAAACAGAATGTAAAGTGTAGTAAGAATAATAATTTAAAAAAAGTATGTTTATGATTTCTGAGACAGAAAATCCAAATGCTAACGACTTCATACACACTCATTCCTCACAGCCTGCGACGATCAGAGCCGGGAGATTTTGCACAGCAGCTACAACCTCACCAGCACCCTGGCTGCTGTCATACACTGTCACAGCAACACACCCGGGGAGCCTCTGGTGCTGCAGGTAAGCCCATTAATACAGCCGGTGTGCTGCTAGCTGGGGGTGAGACTTAAGCAATTACAGGAAACGTTGTAGCAGTTTACACAAACTGAAGCCCTGAAGTCTACTCCAGCGGTCTCCAACCTTTTTTGCGCCACGGACCGGTTTATGCCCGACAATATTTTCACGGACCGGCCTTTAAGGTGTCGCGGATAAATACAACAAAATAAAACTAGTACCGGTACCGAAAAAAAGAAGATTTCTTCATAACACACGTGAAAAGACCCAGGAAAACCGAGTTAACGATACAAACGATAACAAAATAACGCTGAAAACCGATAAAAACCCTGAAAACTATACATTTCACACCTGAGCCTCAACTCTCGTGGCCCGGTACCAACCGACTCACGGACCGGTACCGGTCCGAGGCCCGGGGGTTGGGGACCGCTGCTCTACATTACCGTCAGCTTGTGTGAGCACAAACGTCTCTGCCAGTTCACAGTGACAGCACGAGTGTCGTGTGTCAGCTATAGGACGTCAGATTGTAGATGAAAAAATTCAAAGACATAATTTTCATTAAGTGTAATAAAACTACTGTCCAGATATAGTCATTTAGAAATCTAACAAGGTTGGTTGTTTTTTAATGCTTTGGTGCTTTGTGAAAATCACTGCAGTGTTTCAGAACTAGCAGAAAGAAAGTGCTGTGGTGCTTCTGCTCTTGGTGTCCTTGACATTTATACAAGTTAATGCATATTTCATGAGCAAAATGTAAAATTGAGACTTGTGTTTTACAAGAAACTCTTTACCCCTTGAAGGCATACAAGGACTAAGCGTTGAAGCCCTTTTCTGTACTGAGCAGAACAAACTGTGTGCATCAGGAGCTCGTGAGCGTAGTTTCTGCCTGTGCAGACAAACCCAAACCTATTCCAAGAGTGGTCAAACCAAATCTTTATTAATATAGATGTAGTAATTAACTGAAGCAGATTCATGACTGTACTGTCTTTCTCTAAAACTGTGTCGTCTGTGTTGTGTTGCTCTGTATTTCAGTGCCTCCAGGTGCTGCAGAAGCTGACCTACAACACTCGCATCTTCCAGTCCGCCAGCTGCATCCACGAGCTCATCACTTTTCTCATGACCAACATGTGAGAAACACATCTCATCTCTGCCTTTATGTTATACTGAATTACTGCTCTTTATTTTTTGATTCAATTATGTTTCAATTAACGAGATTACCGACGGTCTTTCATCACAGCCAATCTCAAAATGAAGACGTTGTCATGTCATGTCTCGGCCTCTTGGCCAATCTCTGTCGCGACAACGTCTCCGTGCAGATCTACATCAAGTCTCTGGTGAGTTTCTGCTGATTCACATACAAGAGGAAGACTTCTAAGAATTGGAGGCCCGAGAAATTCATGAGCTGTAAACCACAATCGTCAAAATTAAACCAGAAAAGGCCTTTAAATATTTCACAATACAATAATAGGATACTCTAATGTTTTTGAGATGCACTATTCAGTTTTTTGGGCCACATGCATTTATTGTTGGTGACTAGTAGGAGTGAAACTGGTTATGTTGTTTTGTAGGACAACGTGAAGCAGTTTTATCGCACACTGATCAACTTTCTGGCGCACAACAGCCTGACTGTGGTGGTCTTCACGCTGTCTATACTGGCCAGCCTCAGCCTGAATGAGAAGGTTGGAGAGAAGGTAGGTGAACTCTGCTGGGATCTGCGCTTAACAAAGTGTCTAAAGACGAAACAAAGAAATCTTTGTGTAAATGTTCAGGTGCACAGACTGGACTGAAAAAGCAGCTAACGTCCAAAAATAAGAAAACTTTGAAAGAACTCCAACAAACCTGCAGAACTTTTGCTCAAAAAACACTTTTTTAAACATTACAAGGCAATCTGAGAAAATGTCATCAAACGAGACTCAAGACTTCTGCAGGTCTCTGCCATGACTCGATTTTTTTCTTAACAGCAGAAACAATTGTTCCTTTTTTACTTTGTTCCTATTTTCTCTTCTCGTTTTTATCTGTTGAACAGTAAACAACATTCATGCTGATTCACACAACATCCTGTCTCTAATCTCTGGGATTTCCTCGTAGCTCTTTGATGCAAAGAACATCCATCAAACGTTCCAGCTTGTGTTCAACATCATCGTGAACGGTGATGGTACTCTGACCAGAAAATACTCAGTCGACCTTTTGGTTGATTTGTTAAAGAACCCCAAAATAGCTGATTACCTAACAAGGTATGCAGATGATTCACAGCTCTTTTCCTGAATAGCTGCTTTAAAACTCTGCTGAAAGCCTTTGTCCGTTTCCAGGTATCCCCACTTCTCGGCATGTGTGTCTCAAGTGTTAGGACTGCTGCATTCGAAAGACCCAGACCCTGCAGCCAAGGTGAGAGACGACAAATATGAGAACCCACAGCAGCTGTGCTTAACTCTGTAAGTTCCCAGTTTTCCCTGAAACCATCACGCGTGACACAGTTTGCATCAGACGTGATGCAGCTGACGTCAACTCTGACCTTCTTGTGGCAACAAAGTGGGTCGCTCTTAGACAGTAAATTCCAGTGTGGTCCATGATGAGTCCAGCCATGTGACTTCCTCGCTACTAAATATTCCACAGTCAGCTGTTAGTGGTATTATCACAAGGTGGAAGTGATTGGGAGTGACAGCAACTGAGCCACAAAGTGGTAGGCCATGTAAAATCACAGGGCGAGGTCAGCGTATGCTGAGGAGCAGTGCACAGAGATCACTACAGACCTCCGATTTCACCTGGTCTTCAGATTAGCTCAGAGGCAGCGCATAGAGAGCCTCATGGATTGGGCTTCCATGGCTGAGCAGCTGCGTCCAAGCCGTACATCACCAAGCGCAACGCTAAGCTTTAAATGCAGTGATGTAAAGCACCACTGGACTCTAGAGTGGGGAGTGTTCTCTGGAGAGACGTTGGTGGAGGGGGGATTATGGTGTGGGGTTGTTTTTCAGGAGTTGTGCTCAGGCTCGTCGTTCCACTGAAAGCAGCTCAAGGTACCAAAACATTTTGGACAATTTCATGATCACAACTTTGTGGGAACATTTCATCTCTCTGCGTTCCAACATGGCTGTGCACCGGAAACAATACAAAGTCCATAAAGACGTAGATGAGTGAGTTTGATGTGCAGGAATTTGACTGACCTGCACAGAGTCCTGACCTCAACCTGATAGAAGGCCGAGCCTATGAATGAAGAATGGGATGTCACTCAAGTTCATATGCACATGAAGGCAAACAAGCAAGTCCTGCTCAAACAAAAGGTAGCACTCAGGTAAACTTGAGGGATATGAGCATGTCCAGGTAAGAAGCAGAAGCCTGGGTGGATCCGTTTCACCTACTTTGATGCAAATCATAACAAGAGGAGCGCATTCAGCATGGCTGAGGGATAGAAAGCTGTACTTTAGTCTTGGTTTTGTCTTTATGGCTCTGAGACGTCTGTCTGAACATCAGTGAATTATTGTTAGCGTCTGCACCATCACGCCGTCTCGTTTCAAGCAGCACAAAAGCTTTGCATCAAATCACGGAGCAGCTTCAGGATATGCTCACGTCTGTTCAGTGCAGCCACTGAACCACAAGGCTTACAGACACAAACTCACTCATCTCTGCACTTTAACACATAAAATTAATATATTTAAAAATATATAAAACAATAAAATACATTTCTGACGTAAATACAAATGTTTTTTTGTTTGTTTTTAGACAAATAATTCTTTTAAATATTTCTTACTGCTCGTTAATAAGACAGAAGTATTTCATATCCTGTCACTTAATCGATTATTATCAATTTTTCAACTCACTCCACACTTGTACGAATCATAGTTTCAAAGTTCTAAACTTGTCTGACATCGAAGACCTTTGAGGTTTGACCAGAAGAACGATCGATGCAGCGAACGCTGAGGTTCACAGAGCTGCTGTTTCAGCACTGCAGAGAGGCTGTGATGTGTTTCAGTGGGGATGGTTAGTGTTTGGTTTCACAGCTTATTTTGGGACCTGGTGTTGAAATTCTAACATAAATATCTGTGTTAACTCAAAGTGATTAACTGAAGTCAAACGGACAGAAATGTCCTTAGTGAGCACAAGAGCTGAGAGGAGTCTCACTGTGGATTACTGAGCGTGCATACAGATGGTCCAAATGTGTTTCTGTGTGTTTACAATAGCAGCATTTTGCTGTTGTTGTTTTGTTTTGTTGTGCAGCAGTTAAAGAAAGCTGTTCTCACACAGACTCACATGTTTTTTCTTCCTGTTGTAACTGGACAGCAGCGTTTCTGATAAACCGGTGTCTCCTATTAACTGATGACAGTGAAACAACGCTTACAGGAGCTGCTGCCGACAAACCAGCAAATAAATGCAAGGAATATTTAGTCTTTAAAAATGTTAATGTTGTTTTTTTGTAACAGCCTGCTCTCTCATTATTTGTGCGTGCAGGTTTAAGTGGTTACGTTTGAGTTGAACGATTCGGACACGACATCTGCAGCTGTCGGCGTTTTTATCAACTGCTGCCTTATAAAGAGACTGTGCAACACATTAGATGTCATGATGAGTTCATTTTTTGTTAATCTGGAAGAACAGAAGCAGAAATGACCTCATACTTTCTTAAACTGAAAAACTAAACTGAAATGATAAAAATCTTCTATCAAAAACTGGAACTAAACTGAACTAAAAAGAAACAATAAAACGTCCCGAAACACGAAAGGATTCAACTTGAATTTCGAGGTTTTCTTACATTTGTTCAGGAGTTTAAACAGAAACTAAAATTGATTTATAAATTTAGGAAACTGTTGATTTTAAAGTCACTCAGTGTGTTTCCTTGAAATGAAAACGTGATGCTGTAAAATAACCAAAACCACGAGCACAAGAGGAAGCAGGGCGGGGGCTTCACGGCACTTTGGTTGCACTTTACCTTTGATGTTTGAATTGAAAAATGAAACGCTGTAAAAACTGTAGTTAATAGTTTTAATATTAACAAGCAATACAATTATATTGTTTAACTGGTTCATAGCTGGTTTGCAAACCTTCTTTTTGTGATATCAGCTGAAGAGCTGTTGGACATTTGTTGGTTATTATTTGGTCGATGGTTTTATATCACAAGACCGAACTTGTTCAGTTTTGCTTTCATCTTTCATGTTTTGCTTTCGCTACCTTTTCCATGATGCTCAGGAACTAATAACGCAGGTTTAGGAACTCATCATGGTTTGGGTTAAAATATCAGGAGTGAAACCGGTGACAATGTGTAACGTCACAAAAGCAACGGCAACAGATTTCTTTTAATAGGCAAGTTTATTTGTATAGCACAATTCAACAACAAGGTGATTCAAAGTGCTTTACAAAGACATTAGAAACAAAAACAAATAAAAAGCATGATTTAAAATTGATTAAAACAAGCAAACAAACAAAACAGTATATAAAATCAAAACAGATAAAATCAGAACAGTAGATAAAATCAGTAGTTAAAATGTAAGTTTTGAAATTTAAGCTTAAAAGTGTGGATTTGGTGTTTTATTCAAATGCAGCTGAGAACAGGTGAGTCTTCAACCTGGATTTAAATAAACTGAGTGTTTCAGCTGATCTGAGGCTTTCTGGGAGTTTGTTCCAGATATAAGGAGCATAAAAGCTGAATGCAGCTTCTCCGTGTCTGGTTCTGACTCTGGGAACTGATAAAAAAACGGATCCAGATGACCTGAGGGATCTGGAAGGTTCATACTGGGTCAGGAGGTCACTGATGTATTTTGGTCTAAACCATTCAGAGCTTTATAGACCAGCATCAGAACTTTAAAGTCTATCCTCTGATGGACAGGCAGCCAGTGTAAAGACCTCAGAGCTGGACTGATGTGGTCCACTTTTTTGGTCTTAGTGAGGACTCGAGCAGCAGAGTTCTGAATGAGCTGTAGTTGTCTGACTGATTTTTTAGGTAGACCTGTAAAGATGCTGTTACAGTAATCAAGCCTACTAAAGATGAATGCATGGACTAGTTTTTCCAGGTCCTGTTGGGACATCAGATCTTTTATCCTTGAAATATTCTTGAGGTGATAGTAAGCTGATTATAATAATAGATACTTTTTATATACATACTAACATAAATATACAAATGTGCCATAATAATATTATTAATAATGTTTAAATAATTAAAATAATTTAATAAAATTTTGTTATATATAGATTCGTCTGTTCACAATTTATCAATAAATAAATGGATATCCAAGTTTCAGTGGTACAAAACTGAGAAAAGTATCAGATGTTTGTTGCAGTTTTATTAGATTTTTAGTCAATTCTGTGATTATTATAAGCTTGAAGCTGCTGCTCGTATTACTCACAGGTTATGTTGAAATTTGGTTGTTTTTTCTCTGAAGTTTATCTAAAGATTGTGAGCAGATGCATGAAGATGCTTCTATCTACTGTGAATATTATCAGACTGTTCCTACTCTTAATCAGCATCCATTCTAACATATAAGACAGAAAATGGAAAAGCATTATCCCCCACCTTGAGTTTTACTGCATGATTGCACACTTGCCTCTTTCTGCAGCTTATTTTTGGATAAAGGGGAAGGAAAGCCTTTGTAAGCCATGCTCAGCTGCTACAAACCTTCATCTTGATGTGTGTTACGTGTGTGCTTTGCAGGTGTTGGAGCTTCTCCTCGCCATGTGCAGTGTCTCAGGTCTGCGCTCGCTCCTGTGCGAGGTGGTTTTCAAACCGGCGGGACCTAAACTCAGAGCCGCAGGAGGGGACGGTGGACGCAAGGCGCAGTGTGGGCTGGCACTGGTGCAGTGGCTGAGCTCGGCCGTGGAGGGTGGCGAATCTTGCTCTCTGCAGGTCCTGCAGCTATTGAGCGAGTTACTGGAGGTAAGGTAGCCCCACTGGGATACAGGGGAGAACGTTTTCTTCTGATTACCTGGAAGCCGTAGTCATGATTAAAATAAAATGTGTTAGCTGTCCACCCACTTCTCTTCCTGTCCTCTCCATCCAGGAGACGCTGGGAGCAGAGAGTATGCCTGATTCTACACTGAGCTTTGTGGAAATGCTGCTTCCGACACTGTTAGGGCTGCTGAAGGGCCTCAATCTCTCACAGGGAGATGCTCACCTGAGAAAACACTGTCTCCGCATCAGCTACGTCACCAGCCTGCTGCTAAATATCCTTCACGCGACCCTGCCGCCCTGCAGTCTGTCTGTATCTGCACATGTCTGATTCCTTCGAAGCCTTAACTCTCCCACTCCTGTGCACGGAGGAGGCCACCAGATCCTCGGTGTCCTGTCAGATAAGCGCTCAGCTGTGCCTCTCACAGGTTGAAGCGCTCCTCTCATGTTGCCATAGCAGCAATCCACTCAGCTGTCTACCTCCCAGCTCTGACGATGATCTCAGGTGAGTGAAAGCTCTGACGATGTTTTGCTCAGCTTTTTCTGGGTTCAAGTGATTTTTAGAGATGCTAGAAAAGCAGTGGGATTTCCAGACCGTGCATTATTAATGCAAAATACAGCTGCACTGCTTTATGTGATCAGTGCTTTGTACTCACATAGTCCCTAAAGATCTTTAACTCTTTACCCCTTGAAAGTTTACCATGAGTAATACTTGAAGCTCTTTTCTGAACTGAGTGGTTTCTGCCATTTTTCAGGTGTTTGCATCAGACATTAGTGAGGGCGAGGGTGGTGTCTGCCCATGCAGCTACCCGAAAATGATTCTTAGTGTTGTCAAACTGCATCTTTTTGATATTTACTGACGTGTCAAACCTCGTCGGTAAAGGTGCGGTGGAGATCATCAAATGTAATTATGGAGGGAAAAGATTTCAGAAAATCCCCTAAAACAGCCGAGCTGAGCCAAGTCAGCCATGTTCCATTTATTGGTCACTGTTGGTGGTTGTTATGAAACTTCACCCACTGGCTCTGATATGTAGAGAAAAACCAACCAACCATCAACACAGCCCACGAGCTGAACCAAAGATGTCAGCAGCCCAGGTGACTCCTCTGCTGGGATAAGCTGGCTAATGCTAACACGATGCCCAACAAGCTGTGGGAGAACGTCTGTTTGTTGTTGTTGTTTCTTTAATTCTCAATTACACAAAGAGCCACAAGCAAGAGTAAACATGAGAGACACAGCGCTGATCTACATAACAGATAAGGAAAGCAATCCACTAAATGCTGTATCAACTTTTATTTTTATTTTTAAAGAGCACATTCACTTCACTTCTACAGAGGCATCCGCTAAGTAATCCACTATGTAATTAACTGAAACTAGACTAAAAACTAAAACTACATATGAAAAAAAATTGAGTTCATTCAAATAAAAATATAACAAACAAGACTTTTGAGAAAAGTTTAAGCTATTTTAGGAACTCGAAAAACAAATAAAAATATAAAAACAGGAAATATCCTCAGTTTTACTGCTTGTTAATCTGATACAGTTTGGTGTCATAACTTAGCTGATGAGG